CCATAATATTGCTGGAATATTGCTAAAAGCGGCGTAAAACTAAACTCACTCACTCAGCAAGTTAGCACCATGAAGCAGCATTAGCCAAGTCCCAGACAAGCAGCGATACATGTTCTCTCATCGGGGCGGTGGGGTAGCCTAGTGGTTACGGCGTTCGCTCATCACGCTGAAGACCCCGGTTCGATTCCCCATGTGGGCACTATGTGTAAAGCCCATTTCTGGTGTCCTCCGCCGTGATATTGCTGGAATATTGCTGAAAACGGCGTAAAACCAAACTCATTCACACACTCACTCCATGCTCATCACCATGGAGGTGCAGCAACAGCACCAAACTCCATTTCACCCCAAATCAGACAACTGAGCTAGCCCCCCTCCCCCCTTGATGACTTTTTAATGCAGTGTTGGACTTTCTCAACCTCCAGTTTTCAAATGCAGAATACACTGACAGAATGAATATTGTTTTATGTCCCAGCAAGCAATGTCCCACAACGACCAATAATTAATATGTTGCCTACATCCTAATCCCATACTGCGTTCATCCTACAAGTGGGATATGTTCAGGTTCCGTAGACAATTGTCGAAAGATATTATTTCATATTCTCCTGCAATTACATGGATCAGATTATCGCTAAAGATGGGTGAATGCAGCAATTATAGTGGTCAATGAAGACTTCCCTGAATTCTCTGAAATTGAGAATGGACATAAGGACGCGTCATTGGTAGCAGTCTTTTGTTAGTGCCCTCACAAAACCCGAGACAACAGCCCTTAATTGCATCTTGACTGAGTGTCCCGAGAACACTCCAGGTCCACTGTCTCTCAATCCTGCTTCTCAGTTATTAATTACGACATCATATGTTCTGTTGACTGAGCCTGTGTGGAGTGAGTGACAGGCAAATTGAAGCACGGCCGGGCAAGAATTGCCCCAACAGAAAAACTGTCAATCCAGACGATTTAATGCATTCCCTTACATTCGGGCAGAGAATCAGATTCCATCTCATCTGACATCCTTAACATCCAAGAAAATCTGTTCGCTGACGTTTTCTTTTTAAGAGCTCGGGAGTAGATGCTCCTAGAACGGCTCATCGGATACGAAGAAGAGTTCTCCACATATCATCGCAACTACTCCTATTGGGCCTGTCACCCAGGCCTTTCTCGACACAAAATACTGATTATTCTGAATAAAAGCGTGGCGGTTATTGGTATTATTGGGTCCATAGATGGGGGACACCAGTTAATATTTGGCCGCGAGGCAGGGCTCTTTAGTCCTCTTTAATGAATCTCAAAAACGAATTCTTTGAGCCGATAACCTGCTCGAACAGAGCTCAAGTATCTGCGAGGGTGACCTTACGGGCCGCACACCTGCTGGGGAGAATACTGCTCGTCTTTCAAAGGAGTTCTTTTACACCATCTACTAAAATTGATGAGTTTTCGCGCCTCAATGCTCCCTCTTAGAGTTTTCGTCAATACATGCTTCTTTTATTATTGGAAATTAATTTAGTTTTTTGTCGAGTTAAGTGTCGCCGCAAGAAAGGAGGAATTATCAAAGTAGCTTGAAGTATGAGATCCCTAAGATAATCGTGAATGGAAAGCACTTAAGGTATTACGGCTATCCAGCTAGTAAACAAAGAGAGATGGGTGGTTCTCATATGAAACCCTGAATGCGTTGGTATGCAGTATTGAGCACCATTGAGCCTCAAAACGTTAGGACAACACAACCAGAATGCATCGTGCAATACCCCGCTTTATTAGATGGAAAACGACCATGGGTATTTTTCCCCACGGTAATAAATAAATTGAAATAAGAGTATGAAAACATTTTGAATTGTAGTCTTGTGAATAGGGTTAATTAAATGAAAATAATGTTTTTCGCATTAATGTTAATGTGTTTTAATATTGTTTGTGTATGTGGAGACGTGAGATAAATCTTTTGTGATGATGATGCTTTTCAATGGGATGAGGAGAATGGCTTAATGGGCAGGATGTTTGGGTGCTGCAGGCTCGCAAGGTGTTAAATACCATAACTGTCAGCTAAATTAAATATTGCATTATGAATTCATGAAAATCATCATTTCCATATTGTCGGAATATGTTAATGTATTTACTTTGCATTTGTATGAAGGATTGTTTGGTTTCTAATTGGTGCTTGGAATAAATGAATTTAACAGATTTGGATGTTTTGATAATTAATGATTGATTGTTTATTAAGATGTTTAGGAGGATGGTTTAGAAATCACTGACAACCTTCTTAAGACCTGTGTTGTTTAATGTTTTAGCAGGAAGTGGAATGATAACAACTTATGAATTTCAGAAAAATTTACTTTGCTCACAATTTTGTTTCTTAACTTAATAAGAGTGATGTTAAAGTCTCATTAACGCTGAGGATCTTACCACAGAATTTGGACATGATAATATTTGTAAATTCAGGTATGCACAATATTTTCTGTAGGCGTTAGTCTATTGTGTATCACCATTTCTTTGATGTAATCTTTCCCATACAACTTGTTCTGTGCTAGGTCTTTGTGTATGGGGTCATTTCGATCTTAAATTTAATTCATTTCTTGAATTTAAATTCACATTTCAATCTTTGCTGAAGTTAATTTCATAAATTTATGTTTTCATTGAGATTTTCATGTCAAAATATTCATGGAAAGTAACTTAAAAACTGTAGACGTGTTGATACTGATTTCTGTTGAACACTTCTGAGATGAAAATGAAGGAAAAATGAAATATTTTTTTTTCAATGAAATAGCTTTATTGGGTTTTTTCCTGAATTATGGCAGACATTTTTTATTAAGTTCAGGAATATGACTGGTTCTGGTCTCCACTTGTAGAGATCGAGTGAGTTCTAATGAACTGAAATTGAATCATTGGATTTGATAGGGATTGCTCGTGTTGAGCGTTGAGTGAGTGAGTCAATGAGTGAGTGAGTGATTATATTAATAAACTGATCAAGGGGTAGGGTACGGAGCAAACAAATCAAGAAATATTATGAGGAAGAACCAAGATTTGAGTGAGTGAGTGAGTTTAGTTTATCGCCGCACACAGCATCATTCCAGCTATATGGCGGCAGTCTGTAAATAATCGAGTCTGGACCAGACAATCCAGTGATCAACAGCATGAACATTGATCTGCGTAATTGGGAACTGATGGCATGTGTCAACGAAGTCAGCTAGCCTGACCACCCGATCCTGTTAGTTGCCTTTTACGACAAGCATGGGTTACTGAAGATCAATATTCTAATCTGGACCTTCACGGGTCACCAAGATTTGAACGCAGAATCATGTTTCTTCCTGCCTTAATAAACTGCAATGCCTTACTCCACATGTCACTACAGTAATTAATAAAGTCAGCCGTCAGTACTTCCCTGAAACAAACCTCCAGAAGTGCCCTATAATCGTTGTCTTGTACATCTCCTTGTTTTTGTTTTCCTCAGCATGTCATTCAGTCAGGATTAGTCATGTTCACATCATTATTCACTCCAGTCTTGATCTTCATTTTTGAGGTCTTCGATATTTGTAGTTTTCATCCAAAGTACTAAACATCACAGTTCTGTTTGAATAGTATTTCGAAGTGATGCATCATCACCTGATAGAGGGTTAAGAATATACACCAAATGAAACATCATCACCTTTTTAAGAACATACTTCGAAACATCATGTTCTTTATAATAAAGAGAGAGTGAGTGAGTTTAGTTTACACCACTTTTAGCAATATTCCAGCAATATCACGGTGGGGGACACCAGAAATTGGCTCCACACACCTATGTGGGGAATCAAACCCGGGTCCTTGGTGTGATGAGCGAACACTTTAACCGCTAGGCTATCCCTCCGTCCCTCATGATAAAGAAGTTGACATCCATAATTTTCACCTTTTATTACTGACCTACTTTGAAGTAGACATTCCTGCATGAAACTGGCATGATGAAACAGCCACCTGGTTAGTCTAGTAGACAGAGTGTCTGCTTGGAAGCAGATAGTCTTGGTTTTATGCCTTGTTTATGTCATGCCGAAATATGTTAAGAGCTGATACTTCTTGTTACCGTGCCTGGCTTTTGATTGAGTGAGTGAGTGAGTTTGGTTTTACGCCACTTTTAGCAGTATTCCAGCAATATCACGGCAGGGGACACCAGAAATGGGCTTCACACATTGTACCCATGTGGGGAATCGAACCCAGGTCCTTGGTGTGATGAGCCAGCACTTTAACCACTAGGCTACCCCACTGCCCCTTGATTAAGTGACAAAGTGAGGATTGGTACAGCTTGTTCAGCTTGAGTTAATCAAGTGAATATTTATGCATTGCGTGACCATGTCACACCTGGTTGGGTCTATAATTGTGAAGGGGTGCCTTTTGTCAGTTGATTGTCAACATGTCCGAACAGAACAGAAAAATTGATAATTCAGCTGGGTGTAGAGAGTGACAGCGAGAGTGAATTGGATTGTGAAAGTAACTGACGTCTGTACGTTGTAAAGTTAGTAAACCAAACCAGACAGCATATGACTGTATAAACAATAATATTAAAACATGAAATGATTGGTTTTTTAGAAGTGTTGTTTTCCGGGACAAGACCAGTAACGAATCCATGTATCTGGGAATCGAACCCGGTTCTTCGGAGTGACAAGCGTATTATTAACCACTGGGCTACCCAACCCCCCTTGTCATACCGAAGACCCGGGTTCGATTCCCCCCATGGGTACAATGTGTGAAGCCCATTTCTGGTGTCCCCCGCCATGATATTGCTGGAATATTGCTAAAAGCGGCGTAAAACCAAACTTACTCACTCACAAATGTATATATGTCATTGTAAATGTGCAATAGTCTAGAATGCGATCTTAAACCTGTGATGACACTGAAGGTTTTCGTGGTAGCAGTTAAATCTACCTGATTTGTTTCATGGTACGTTGTAATTGACCAGATCAAGATTTTACTCAAATCCACTGGCTTCACTGCAAGTTTCAATTACAACTAAACCTACAATAACTTCATCTCAAATATTTTTCAGATTCAGGAAATTTATCGTCGGGAAAACGTGAAACTGAAAAGCGATGACCAACGTGATCAGATGGAACCTGACACTAGTCATCACATGATCACTGTCAACCAATCCCATCTGGCGGCAGCTCTGGAAGGGATGCGACCCTCCGTTTCATCAGATGAGAGACTGAAGTACAAAAACATGTGAGTTGTCTCCCTTACATCAGGAAAGTCAATGGAGATTGGCCAGCACATTATGTCACCAGGAAACTCAACATTCATTTAAGAACATGCAGCATATCATTATGCAGGACTTTTCATCAGGACATGTTAAATGGAAAGATTTGTTTCTGAATATCAAGCCTTATTTTATGAAATATTTTCTCATGCTGTTCCTCTTCCATCCCGCACTCACATACCTTGACAACCTCCACCACACAACACTGTTTGAAATAGTGCTTGATTTGCCATGGCACACTAAATATTGAAATTGTGCGGATGAAATATCTTGACTGTGCCCTGTCGGCACGCCTAAAATTATACACATACAGATGTAATATTGACCATGATTCTGTCAAATGAAAATACAATAGAATGATAATTAAGATTTCAACTTATGGATAACAAGCTCTTGTTTATTGCAATAAGTTGTTATCCGTTAAGTTGTATGTGTTATTGCTATAAACAAGAGATTGTTATATATGTTATATTTGGGATTTCATTTTCTTAGCAAAGAACAGATTCTAGTACTTTTGTTGGGTTGAGTCCCATCGCGATTCGAACCCACACCCTCAGAGTCAGGCACCTAATTGCAAGCACACAAAGTCAGTCGCCTAACCCGCCCCGCCACAGCGGCTTCCACAAGAGGCTGTTATCCGTAAAGTCGTATACTTTCTTAATGATTCACCAACTTCTAGAATGCCGATAAAACAAGCAATAAATATGACCAATTCAAATGCTTGAAAACCTATTTTTGGACCCATTAAACTATTTATCGGTGGCATTCTCAATCTCAAAAGTCATTTTAAATCACAATGCCTGTGGCAGGATATCGAGGATCTAGCATGATAACATAGTTTCTGGGTCCAGGACAAATGAAGCTGAAGTGTTCTTGCAGTCATGATAGTGTTCAGGAAATCCAGATCTCAAGTTTACAGGTGCACATGATGTTTACCTATTAGTAACATTAAATTGTCATGACAAAATTGTTGTGATTGTTTTCAGTTTCATTGGACCATAAATAGTAATGGGCACAATTATTTTCACGAAGGCACATCTAACTTATCTGTATGGTGCCCTATGGCACCCTTCGCATATTTATGCCTGTTCAACCATCCCAAATATACAACATGGTACATTTTCTTTGACATTCTCCCACCATTCTTGTAAAAGATTACCTGTCTTCATTTAAGATTCAAATAGGGGCGGTGGGGTAGCCTAGTGGTTAAAGTGTTCGCTTGTCATGCTGAAGACCCGGGTTTGATTCCCCACATGGGTACAATGTGTGAAGCCTCTTTCTGGTGTCCCCGGCCGTGATAGGACATCAGGAAAAAATATTGCTAAAAGCAGTGTAAAACCTCACTCACTCACTCACTCATATTCAAATATATCATTTTTTATTTTAAAATGTAGAACCATGGCATATTAACCCCCATATAGTTATGATACATTTTGGCAACCCTATTTCACAGAATTTATTCAAGATCAGCGGTGCTTACTCTCCTCTTATCCAGCCTCTTGTAATGTAAAAATCTGAATTCATGCCATGCTATACATCTCCAAGGATATTTATGTCACAACACAATTCAAATTTTGATGGCGACTGTATTTCTATTTAGATCATATATTATTACAACCTTCTTTTAAGTTGCTCTTTTATCCAAAACATATTTGGCATTTTGAAAAAACATTCTTTTTTCCTTTTTCCACTTTAGTGTCAGTTCAAACGATTCACAACATTGATTTGGAATCAGTTTAAGATTAGAATTTCTTTTCCATATTTTTTTTCTGCTTTTCCAGACAAATCAATCTGAGAATTAAAAAAGTATTGTTTGAACTTGTTCCTGTTTTCCTTGTTGAAAGTGAGAGCAAGCAGATCAGTAGGACATCGGGAAAAAAGTCAACCTGAGTCCGAGATTGTTGCTGAACAAGAAAACATAAACTGATAATGTTTACAGTTTATGAATGAACATTTTGCACGAATCCAGGACGTGATGCAGTTTCAGATAGCGGGCAGAAATTGTGTTAACTTACGAAAAAAGTTTGATATCCCGACAAGTAAAGCCTCTATCAGTGTGATTACTTGTTTTATAGATTTGAAAAAATAAATACTTGAAAGCATGAGAAAAAAGTAAGAATTTCTTTTTAGCATACATAAATCAGTGGCTAAAGTTGTTGATGAATTGTGCATACTACCATACTGCCTTGTGCATATGTAGGAGTCAGTGGGTGGGTACCCGGTAGGATGAGATGGTAATGTGACTGATGACCCTTCCAATGTCTCAGATACAGCATGGGTTGTATACTTCCCAGGGAGAGGAGAATGAAACTTGAGTGTACACTGATCCATTGACCATGTACTATTAACTTTCGTTTGGGTGTGGACGTGGCTATTGTATATACACATCATCATCACCATCATCATCATCATCATCATCATCATCAACATCATCGTCATCGTCATCATCAACATTAATGGTTGTGGTAGTGATAGCAGCAGCAGTGATAGTAATATATGCCTGGACTATTTGGGGTAATTCATATGGATAAAAAAAATTCTCCTTTGCTATATAGAGTTGGGGAAGAATGCCAAGAGAAAACATCATCAGATTATCAATGTAAACTGAGATGAGTTATTACCAGACACAATTATTTTTGTAAGAGTCTGATAAGTGACAATGGATCTGAAACAATCGTAATGTGATTGTCTGCCAAGGGCAAAGACTAAATGGAAAATGAATGAAATGGGTTAGGCTTGACTGAATATTAAGAACAATAAAAAAAAAAGGAAAAAAAAGAATTGTCGATAACAAAGGAAAAACAGCTTGTTGTCTTAATGAACCTTTTTTTCAACTATCATACACATATTTAGTTTGACTACATTTTTATATGTTGTCTACTAGCTGTCAAGATGATCAAGAAATAGTTTAGTAGTCTTTGTGACAGAGACATTTTTGATTAACTGGTGAACCTTATGCTTGTATAAGGTAACTTTGTTGACGTCTCTACGTGTGATGCTAAGAATTATTTGAAGGATCAGAAGCAAATATCACATGGTCTACCTCTTGCGACCAATACGCAACTAATAGTAATAAAGTAACAATGATCGGTGACATACTGTAATGACAGCAAAGTGGCCATTGATCAAAAAATTTATGTGCCTCGTTCATGTTTATTATATAAATAGAAATCTATAAATATCCCTGAGCTTCATGTTATGAGAGGGGCATTGGGGTAGAATAGTTATTATTCACTCATCATGTCTAGGACCTGGGATCAGTTCCCCACGTGGGTACAATGTATGAAACCCATGTCTAGTGTCCCATGCCATATTTCTGGAATACTGCTAAAAGCGACGTCAGACCTCACTCACTCACTCACTCACTCACTCACTCACTCACTCACTCACTCACTCACTCACTCACTCACTCACTCACTCACTCACTCACTCACTCTCTCCCACTCACTCACTCCGGCTCACTCACTCACTCAGGTGTATATGTGGATCTGTATATATATTCTGGTCAAACAATGCTTACAAGTCAAACGATTCACCATATTCCATTCGACATTGACTGTCAATTCTTGTATATAAAAAGTTAAGTCATATTTACTGGTCAGTATCTAGTACGAACTAGAAGCATTAATAGTGTTACTTGAACAAAATATAACTCATCGTTTTGAAGAGCACATTTATAAACAAATCAACCATACAATCCTGTTGTTAATGGCAAAGGTGTGAAGATTTATTTATAGTTGTTTTATCCTAAATTTAACCTTACGCTAAGAACCCGAGGCACATGAGAAAGAGATGTATGCTTTTTATCCAACAGGATTTTAATAATGTATGCAAATTTTAAGATTCATTTAAATCCCAGTGAAAGGTGCCCTGCATTGTCTTCAAAAGAAACTGGTAAATCAGAAAATCTTGTCCAACACATACATGTTTACAAAGTTGTGAGCTCGTGATGAATTTCGGAAAGACAAACTAGTTGAACCGCAAAACAACAAACTCCATTGACTGCCCTTCAGGTACCTTAAACTTGTCTAAATTTGAATTTAATTTAACAAACACAGGTGTTAGTGAGTGTTTTTATTTCCCCTGTTCGTGAATGGCAAAGTATTAATTACACTTCCAGCGAGCCGCTCATCGCATTGTCGGAGTCGCAAATGTCAACAGCATCGTGCTTGGACAAGGTCTACCTGACCACCAGCTAAGTGTTGATTATCTGTGGCCATGGGTATCACTGGACACTGCTCCCATTGACCCTTGACTTGACCGCTGCTCAAATGTCACGGCACGTGTCTTTTACATTCCGTAAGCGTTAGCGTTTTCAGAGGGTTGTGCTTGGCTTACCGGGGTTAGAGAGGATTGGGGGGGGGGGGGATTAGAGATGTAAATGTTGAAATGATCCCAGTTTGGTTCTAAAACGTATGTAGAAGGATGATTATTATTATTGTCTTTTATGTATATCAATGTTCAAAGTTAAAAGTTGGGCTTTTTACCCTAAAATTGTCAGCTATAGAATTTATGTTAAGATGACCCTTATTTATAGCATGATGGGGTGAAATGACACACAGGTGCATGATACAGTTTTTGTATCGATACAAGACAATACACTTACGTAATACTTGTTTAATGACCCCCAATTGTTTTGTCAGTCAAAGATTGCAAAAGAAATTGTAATTTGCATTTTTAGTTTACTGCTAGAAATTTTAGAAATTGCCACAATTACAATGCTTTTACAGCAAGCTTTTCCTTTTGAACTTGCTTTGAAATATTTATGGTCAAGAACTTTCAGCAGAGATGCCAACCCATATGATTTTATCATATTTGTTACGAAAAAACAACACAAAATTCGCAACTACAATAGCAGTAAAAATATACGAATTTTAAAAAAATAATACATTCAATTAAATTGTCAAATAGCATACGTACCATACACAAACATTTTCAACCACATTTCATTCAGTATCAAACTGTA